TCGTTACTCGACGGGAAAACGAGAGAGGCGGCTGCGAGAGCAGGGGAGGGGAATATGTTTTCGATGTGCATGCATGTCACTTTTTGTGTAGCCACACACACACACACCCAGTCGGTCTCCTTGGGGGGGCCTGCCTGGGTGAGTGGGATAGACAAGGCCGGACATGGGGCGGCACAGAACAGCTGTGCTACCAGGCACGCGAGGGCTGTCTGTTGTGACACACGCCCGTCCGGCCTTTGCCTCGCGGTATGCTTGCCTGTCTATCCGCCCGCGGTCCGCCCCCGTTGGTCTAGAACGGCTACAGAACTGCTGAAGAAAAGCTTCGTCGCGATTCTGCCCGCGCCCGCTCCATAGAGCCCGAGACGGGCGTTCTGTTCCGGCCGGCGATGTTGGCAGAGGGGGGGGAGGAAACGATCAGCTAATAGCTACCGATCCAGGTACGGATACCACGGCCTGATATTTGCTTGCCGCCGTGACACTGGACCAGGTCTTCTTTTGTTGCTCAACCATGGGCGGCTGGTATCTCGTACGCAGCTTGTTGGAAATGCTCCCCAGACCCCAACCCGTCATGCTTCATAGTCGTTCCATCGCATTGCCGCACCCATTGTGTTGGTGATCAACATTACCAATGCCGTTCTCGAGAGTCCACACCGGTTGGAGTCCTTTTTTGGGCAAATTGAGCCATACTTCCCCCATCTCACCTATAGTATCCGTACCTTACGGATACTTGGCACTACCAAAAGTACTCACCATTCGCCATTCTCCGTCCCATGCCCACTCCTCCGTCCCCTGCACTTTGACCCTCCTCTGCACAAGTGGACCCGGAACCAACAGAGAGACCATGCCTCATCCAGAAGCTTGCAGGGAATCCCGGACGACGCTGGGGGTGGCCCAGCTCAGCAGTAATAGTGTACAATGTACGGAGTATACGGGCGACATATCGTTGCAGTCGGCGGAGACGGGGGACGGCACTCTTTGGGGTATGGGCTAGGAGGCATAGTTAATGTTGATTGGGCTGATGCCCCCAAGGGGCCAGGTACAGCGGCAGAGTAAGCCGCGAATGATGGCCGTCGTTGGTCCTGCTCATGCTGCACCGGCGCGCGTACCAGGTGTGACGGGCTGCGCGCCAAGGGGCCCATCACCGTGGTCACCATCGAGTCGCGGGTGTGGACCGGGGGCATAGCCAGCGTGGGTCGGCATAAGCTCATAAGTTTCCTTGACGACACGGATCCGGACGCAGCTGAGGTCAGAGCCTGTCTCGCCCTGCTCGTCTTCTTTTATCATTCTCAGCATCATCATCATCATCATCATCATCAACACCGTCATCATCCGCCCCCATTGCGTACTCTCTGATCGACAGCTGCGACGAAAACGACGACTAGATCGGCAGCGGCCCCTCCACAACCGCCGGTTTTTCTCAATAGTCGTATCTACCTTTTGGCCTGTTAGCTTGTCATCGTCGACAGGCCCGACAGCCACAGGAGTAACGGCAGCAACAGCACAGGCACAAACACAGGCAGAAGCACGGACACGGACACAGACACAGACACAGACACAGGCACAGGCACAGGCACAGGCACTGACACTGGCATAAGCAACGGCAACGTCAACGGCAACGATAGCGACGATGGCGCCCATGACCGATGCCCATAGTTTCCTCAGCCTAGGCAGCGGCGGCGGCGACGCTAGTAGCCACTGCCAGATGACGACAATGACGCGGACAGCTACCTGTAGACGAACCAGCGAGGATAGCGTGGACCGGTCTCACGGACTCTGGGACTACTTCCATCATGGGTTCGACGGGAACAGCAGTCCCGACCTGTACCAGTTTCACCAGTTTCCGCCGCAGCAGCAGCATCAGCCTCAGCCTCAGCGGCAGCGGCGACAACAACAGCAGCAGCAGCAGCAGCAGCAGCAGCAGCAGCAGCAGCAGGCGCATCAACCGAAACCACAGCAACAGCAACAACATAAGCTGCAGGTGCAGCAGCGGCAGCAGCACCAACAGCAGCATCGGTCACCCTCGCCATCATCCTATCTCAGCCTCTACCTACGGCCCAAGTCTTCCAGGAGCCACCAATCCCTCAATGTCCCGCAGACGAGCTCCGAGCCGGGGACAATGGGGAGCCAGACTGCGGCCGGGTCAGCGAGCTCGTGCACCTGGACATTGAGCATCAAGAACCACGAGAAGAAAGGCAGCAGCGTCAGCAGCAGCAAGACGGCGGTGACGACGACGACGACGACGACGACGACGACGATACAAAACATGCGAGAGACGCTTTCCTCGGCCGGGTCGTCGACGATCGTGGCCCCGCCGCCGGTATCACCGTCGACAGGGTCCTTTGGCGCCGAGATGACGAAGCAGGAATTCGAGGCTCTACCAGAGGCCATTCAGCGAAAGGTGAGCGAGACAGATTTTTTGTTTTATTTTGCGTGTTTCATCTTTATCCATCATGTTCAATCACACTCGGATCTTGCCTGCATTTGGTGATTCTCTCCGAGCCCTTCTTCTCTACTGGGTATGTTCGTCCCCTCTTCCCAGTCTATTGTTTTTTCTTCTTCTTCTTCTTCTTCGGAAAGCCCTCCTTTCTTTTCTGTTTCCTCGGGGTCTCATGCGCCGGGGCCTCTGTGCGGCAGTCCCGCAATGGTCAATACCGGGTTGTCGGCTTAGCGCAGCCTCACCTCCCCTTCTCTGCCCCCTCTGGTCAAGGGACTGAGAACGACGCCGTCGAGGGCTTTGGAAATCTTTTTTTGTTTTGTTTCCGAGACCCGGCAGCTCAGGGCAAGGGCACAACTCTGTCTGGAAGATGGTGTCAAGGACACTTGATGCAAATGGGCACGAGTGGGCCAGCATAAGGCTCACGGTGATGACATGGGTGTTGTGTGCGTGAGTAAGATGAGATGAATTGAGAAGGAGGCTTGGTTTGGTTGCGACAAGCTTACGCCCTCTCACACTCTCTCACTCACTCTCACACTCTCATTCACTCTCTCTCTCTCTCTCTCTCTCTCTCTCTCTCTCACACACACACACACACACACACACACTCACACACACTCACTCTCTCTTACTCTCTCTCACTCTCTCTCATTCTCACACACACTCTCACCCGCCTCCACCCACCGAGCCGCCGGAAGGGGCCCCAGATCCAGGGGTCAGCACAGCTGCAGTAGGGGTCGGTCAGGTACGTGTCAACGCGAATTGGCTCATCCAAGGGGGGGTTGTCTGTTCAGAACTGCGTGCGCCACTGGCTCAGTGGGTGGCTCTTGACTATCAGAGGCTTGGTGCTGCTGTCATGCCCTGCCCCGTCCCCTCCCATTCCGCCCCCCCGCCCGCACGCATATCCTCCTCAAAGCTCACCATAATCTATCGTCACATCCCTCTCCCGTCCAACCAACACCCGGCAACTTGCTTCAATCTCTCTCTCACTCTCTCACTCTCCCCCCACTCCATGCACCTGTATGCCAATCTCGTCCCGTCCGGGGGCCCAGTCAGCATTGGCCAATCTTGGATCAGGCCCAAGAAGCGGGCGCGAGTGGCCTTCTCTCGTTCATGCTTCCTCTCCGCCCGCTCATGCACATGCACAGCAGGCAGCTGCTAAAGACCTCGTCTGCATCTGCACCGCGCAAAAAAGACGCGGACGGGGACGGGCGATTGGCCGGCGACCATGTCAGCTCTTGGTGGCGGGAGAGGTGTCATCGCGACCTTGCATCGGGCGAATGGCAACGTGTTGACGACGAGACGGACTCGCCAGTATCATCGTCAATAACAACAACAATAACAATGGCCAGCCCGGTCTCATCTCGTCTCTTGGTTTCGGACATGGTTTGGCCATTTCTAACCTTGCATCTTCCGTAAACTCTCATCATCCCTCATCCCTCCCCAATCACCCCTCTCTCTCATCCCATTTTGCCGCGTCCCTCGTCCCAACATGCGACGGCAAGCATACACACACACACACACACACACACACACACACTCACTCACACACACTCTCACACACACACACAAAAGTCTCCCCCCGGGGGTCAACCGTGATCGGTCATCAATACTCTCCCGCCCCAAGACCGTACGACATGTCTCACTCCACACATGCAGAATCTGGCCCGACCATCCGTCATGTCTCTGTGTGCTTGTTCCCTCCTCGTTCCTGTCCCCCCTCCCCTCCCCGTCCCCACCCCTCGCTGCGGCAGCGGGCCTCTTGATTCGCGCATCACCGGGTACATCTCAATTCCCACATTCCATGGAACCCCCCGGGCCGCCAAGTGGTGTCGCCGGCCAAGGTGAAAGCCGAGCTAGGCCGCATACGCCGTTGGTGTCTCTAGTACTGCGTGGACTCGTCGACCTGTACCTGGCCTGGCCTATCTTGGTTGTCTCTGGCCCGTCTGTCTTGTCTCTTGTCCTGCCTGTATCGATCGCCGTTGCCCCCCCCCCCCCCCCAGGCCTACACAAGTCAGTCTATGTGACACCCGCATACGCACTGATGCTGGGCCCGGCGCCCTGATGCACTGACCTGACTTGACATGCACCACGGACTCCTTCTCATTCCCACACACGTCCGACCCATTAGTTTCCTACTCGTCTCTGCACCAGCCACCCGTTGGCCCCCGTTTCGTTGGATGGCTTGCGGCTTTCCCGCGAGGCTGTTCCTGCATTGTCGATGGAGGCATCACCCTGGAAGAACTTCGGGGTTGGCCCTGAGCCGGACCTGAGGTGCTTCGTGTATCCGTATACCGACCTCGTTGACTTTATCTGTCTTGAAGCGAAGCTAGTGTAAGGCTGGCAGAAATGAGGGGAAAGAGAGAGAGAGAGAGAGAGAGAGAGAGAGAGAGAGAGAGAGAGGAGAACCGGTGCTATTGCTGCCGTTGATGGAGGTCCGAGACTTGCATTGCAGCACCGTATCGTATCCACGTATCGGCGGACCTCTCAGTCTATCCTTTCCTTATCCTGTCACGCTGTCTGAACCATCGATCCTTCGATAGTAGGCTCCATGACATGCCCCTCCATGCATATCGTAGGATATGCAATGCAGCAGGTCCCGTCCAGTGACCATCAACACAACGTAACGCAAGCGCGTGAGCGAGCACGGCCCAGCAACACTACGCCTCCCCCTCCCCTCCTCTCCCCTCCCCTTCCCATTCTTTACATCCCCTCCCCCTTTGCACATTCCACTACTAAGACAATACATGCCCCCCTGCTGTCCCTCAATTCCATTCTTGGCCTTGTCTCCATTCCAGTCCATGTCTTTGCATCTTTTTTTCTTTCTTTTTTTCTTTTCCCTCCTTGCTAAATCCTACTTTAGTACTTCAGCTCCCTCGAACGCCTACACTTCGCCAAACTAGCCCCGGCTCCCACTCCCCCGTCCAAACACCTCGACTTCTGCTGCGACTATTCAGGCACCGGCTCCAATCCCAAGACCCTGAAGCAGCGCCGAAGAGAACGTCAGGCCAGGCTCGCTGCTGACCAGGGCCCTGACCGCATCAAGAGACGCTCGTCTCACCGTGCCGTCGGTCCCCGCTCGTCGGCCGCGTCCGTGTACGTGCGTCTGCCGGACAAGATCAAAAAGAGGCATCTGACGACGGAAGAGCAAATCATTGCCTCCCGGAACCGGAGACACGACATCATTCTCGACCCGGCGGATGAGGCTGTCTACAAGGTCCGAAGAAGAGCGTCCAGCCTGACAATCCAAGACGAGTTGTGGAGCCCGACCTTGTCCGTGAGACCTCAGACGATGGAGGACAGGCCAAGCCAGGAGCCGCACGAGCGGGCGGCCAAGGTTGCGGAGCAGAGGTCGTCGCCGCCTCAGAAGAAGCGTGACTCTTTCTACGACAGTTTCCGGTGGCTCGAGGAGGATGACGAGCTGGACCTTCGCTTGCAGCTGGACGACTACCACGCCAACTTGAGAGATGACCTCCCCGCCAACCCGGAACAGCGCAGGCCGTCGTTCCGCAGGCGCTTGTCCATCAGCAAGATCCCCTTTGGACGCACGTCTCTCTCGTCGTCGAGCCGTCCCGGCACTACGCCAGGCGTCTTCAGCGACCCTTCGTCCCCGCGCCTGCCAGACTATTCGAGCAGCCCCGGCGCAGCGTCCTCGTTCAGCCATGCCCGGCGGAGATCGCGCGCGCTGTCGCTGATTTCGCCCAAGCATAGCCCGCAGGACTCCCTTGCGGCTTTCGACCCGGAGGCGGCACACTACAAGGACCCGGAGGCGCGTCTGAAGCTGCGGGTGTACCTCGCGTCCCCTCAGAAGTTTGACGAGGCCATCGAGTTCGGCTTCCCTTCCAAAGAGGCCATGGTGTCGCAGCCGGGCAGGGACGCTAAGCAGCAGCCCAAGGCCAGATCGCCCAAGGCGGCGGACGAGACGGACAAGATGCGTACGTTCCTCGCGGACGACAGGTCTTCGATCTCGAGCGACGATGGATCCCTCGACTCGGACTCGCCCAAGACGCCTCACACTGTGGAGATGGCGGGGCTTAGGCCGCCGCCCATCAGAGACGACCAGCTCCAGTCGCCCAAGCCATCGACCGAGTACGCACGGATGCCGGCAGAGGCAAGGGAAATGACTCTGCGCATGACGCTCACACGGCCGGATCTCCGAGCCCACGAGGACCAGATGTACGGGTGGCAGAAGAACTGGGCAGCCGGCAGGAAATCGACCAACGGGCTGCGCGACGACTTCCCGACGGCCACGTACGTCCGTGATGCGTCGTCCAAGGAGAGCATCGAGCGCCAGTTCGCGGCCATGGATCAGGAGAACGTTCAGGCGAGCGACCAGGGCGTCATGAAGCGTTTTTGGAACAAGGTCCGACGCGGACCCGCATAACAAGGCCCTTTTGGCCAGATTTGACGGCCATCGCACATTCCAGACTCCCCAGGGTCGAGTCGCAATTCCCCCAAAAGAGAAGAAAGAAAAAAAAAACCCCGCAAGCACGACACCAACAGCAAGCCTGTTTCTTATACCCCCATCTCTACCAAATCTGTATACAGGCAACAATCCATAGTGTCTATTATTTTCCTGTTTCAGAAGCAGAAACTTGATTTTGTTTTGTTTTACGAGCGACACTGTGCGGCACAATCATCATCAAGGTCGTTATATCGAGCCGGGAGTTGAACATGGGCATCGTTTGAAAGCATGAGGGAGGAGTTCATAGAGAGGCATTTTCCCGCCCTTTCCGCCTGTAAATATTGTACAGCCGCACTGGAGAGAGAGCGCCTTTATTGCCGGTAGATCCTTTCATCATACGGGGGGGGAGGGGGATAGGACAGGGTCCCGGTGTAGGGTAGAGACGAGAGGAGGGTAGGGTAGCACTTTTTTTTTATTTGATTTGATTTTTTCGTCTGTCGGTCCAGGGCGCTGCCGAGTGTGTGTGTGTCCCTGGTGTCAAGGTGGATAATGAAAGTCTCGTTGGAAAATAAAGCCAAATTAAAGTAAATAAAAATAAAATAAGAATAAAAACCCACTCCGTATGCCATCCAAAGTCAGGGACGTCCCATGTGGTACAAAACAAAAGACGGCCGCGCGTGGAGGGGGGGGGGGGGGGGGGATGTCGGACAGGGACAGGGATTGGGATGACTTGACATTGGACACAATTCGAGTTGTCGCAGAATGGGATGGGATCGACTTGCGTTAGTCGCGACCATGGGACAAGAAGTCCCGGGACCTTTACAAATACCTGTATCCGTATCCGTACTCGTACTACTACCCCGTATGTATGTATGTACGGATAAGTAAGCGCAGGTTTCGTCACCCGCAGAGTCACCCGCAGCGTCCCACGTTTTGCGCTGCGCTGCGCCCGCCACGAATACCCCGGGGAGGAAGAGGAGGAGGGGAGATACTCCTCTATAGCGGCCCCCCCCTCAAGTCCCTTTTGTTTTTGGTCCTTTCGGGAAGACGTTGAGAGAGAGAGGGGTAACAGAGTATAAAATAAAAAGGGACGAAGAAATAAAAGTAGAAGGGGGCTGACGAACGATAAACGACGGACTCTGAACTTGTCTGAACCGCATGGACCCACATAATCCTGGTTGATAGGCGACCCCTGGTCTCTATGCCACACGGACCCCTTCTTGTTTCCGCCATTTTGGGGAGGGGTTGGTATCGCGTACTAAAAGAAGTCGGAATATCGAGACGACAGCAGATGCGCACGTTGTTTGGGGCCAAGCTTTTGGAGGAGATGGAAGATGCGGTGTATGCGTACGTGCGTGCGTGCGTGCGTGCGTGTGTCCGATGAGACTGGCACCCAGGGACATCGGGCCTGTCTGTCTGTCTGTCTGTCTGTCTGTCTGTCTGTCCGATGTGCGCGCGCGGGTGTGGGGTGGAGACGAGGACCCTCGTTAGCGTCCCTTTGCCAGGAAGCTCGATAACAGGCGGAGGCGACGGCGAGGCACGGTATTGCAGTGGAGTAGAAGGCTGGGACGGGAGGGGAGACCTCTACTCCGTACTCTGGTACGGTTATTGTTATTTCATTCCGGCGGGGGTGGTGTGGTTCCATTTGGGAGGTTGCTGATACCTACAACACCAAGTATAGGCCCCCCTCCAGGAGGCTCCTCTCACCGGAACGATTCTGTGGGTTGTGCCTCGCTAGACCTCCCGGGAACCGATTGCGCTCCGTGGCGTCGCGGGATTTGGGGCGTTGTTACTATCGGGTCCGTGGGCGCGGCACGGCTACTACGCTATGCGGGTACGCTGTAAGCATGGATGGACGGAGAGACATGGATAGAGAGAGAGAAATGTGATAAGGAGGAGAAGAGGAGAGCAGGGAAGCACATGACATGACGAAGCTGCAAAGCAAGTGCGGCTGGCCTGTCGTCCGGGGGTCAAACACTGGTCCCCTTTGGAAGAACGCGTCGTCTGCATTGTATCCGTATACCGGCTGGAAAAAGAAAAGAAGAAACGAAGAATAAGCAAGTAAAAAAAAAGAAGAGTAAAAAATTAGCGTGTATCATCCTGGGAAAAGCGGAGGATGTGCCGTCATGGACGGGGGCGGGCGGAGGGGGGGTCTTTCCTGTGACATTATTGCCTGTGTCTTGTCTCTGCCGAGACGAGGCGGAAAGAGCTCACGGCCGGCTCCTCCCAGATGTGTTCAAGGCGCGCAAGCGACACAACGACTGGGTCTTTGGTTATTATTTATTATTAATTTTATTTATATTTAATATCATTCTCTTGATCCGCACTGCTCGTTGTCGAGGCGTTGCTACCCGTCATGCCCTCTTCCTAAGATTGACAATTTAGAAGAGGAGGGAGAGGGGAGTGAGCTCGGACGTCGAGACATGCTTGCTTGATGCCACGTGCCGGAGAGAGATTGCCGCATGGTTGCGTTTCCTTCTGCAGCTGCGCACTTGCATGTGGTTCGCTTGGAAAGAAACGGCGCCTGGCTGAAATCCGACCTGGGAAGGGGTGGGGGCTGGATTGGAGACGTCGAAACGAACGGACGGACGAAAGGGAGTTGGTTTCGAGGCCCTTTTTTTTTCCCCTTTCTCTTACCCTTCATTTTTTGTTTCTTTTTTCCGGTTTGCGAACCATGGTTGGCTTGAAACCCCAGCACGAGTGCTCCTGACCGATGTCACCGCCGAGGCAGGTAGACAGACGTGTCTAGTTGCATCGTTGCAACAGCGGGAGGGATAGGGACCAGAGCGGGAAATAAAATAAACCTCTTACCCATGAGGGGAGAAGCTACAGTAGCACAGAGCGAAGTCGACCATCACCAAACATGATGCGATGATAACGCATCTCTGCTTGGACCACAACAGGCCCGCAATCAATATGAAGCCATAGTAAGCAGGGGGCAGTGGTGGATGGGGGGGGAGCAGGAATGGTGCCGTCTAGCGTCGTCGACATGCAAGTCTGAACAGCTCCAAATGAAACATGGGAGACCGACCACACATGCGTGTGTGTGCGCCCGGCAAGGGAAAACTTGTGTCCCCCACATGTCAATGGTAGTCGTCTCATCAAATGAGAAAGTGCGGGCTCACAAAGTGCTCTCGCCTCCTTAGGTACGGATACGGAGGGAAGGAAAGAAAGAAGCCTGTCTCCTACTACCCGTACCCTTGTCGCACTTCTGTCAGCATCACGTGATAGCGCGTGGGTGGATCCTGAAAAGTGGATCCCCATGTGGCGTGGCCAAACGTCACGACAGTGAAATTTTGGTGAGCCGGGGACCCTGAGATCGAGCAAGGTGCGCCTTCTCAACATGCCCCCATCTTTTCAACCCCCTTCAATATGATGAGAGGCTCGAATAAGCCCTACGTGTGCTGGCGATGTCTCACAGTCAAGACGTCGCTGACTCCGGTGCCTAGCGCATCGCGATTTGCTCCACAGCTTCAACAGGGCCCCTCTGATATCTCCAGGAGAGTAGGTCTTAGGCACCCACCCCCTAGCGATCACCATCATGTTATTTCCAGAACCGGTTCAAAGCTGACGTGCTCTTACAGTCGTATGCTGGTGCAAGTCACAAGTATGTTGGCGGTGGAGGCCGACACCGTGGCGGCCACATTAACTCGGCCTCGGACCGGGAGCTAGCCCACATCCGCGAAAAGTCGGACATCAGGGAGCGTCTCCGGGAGTGGGAGTCGGCGAATCGCGAGCCCTCTCGCCGCATGCTCCAGGACATGCCCGCCCAGGAAACCCCGCTGTTCAACTTCCTGATCAGGCCGGACCTGCCTTTCGGCGAATCCGAGGCGGTCGGGTGGGAAGAGACCGAGCTGCAAAGGAACAGCAAGAGGAACCGCCTCCTCTTCGAAGCCGACGAGCTCGCCGACCTGCGCGGCGCTACGTCTGCGCTTCTCGCCGGCGACTTGGTCGAGACGAGGCAAGTCCATCGTCGCTTCTACCCATGAGGAACAATCTACTGACAAAACTCGCAGATACGGACACGGACGCCTGCCCCTCCTGGCCATCTGCCTGGGACGTCACCACGGGCTGCAGTACTTCTACATGGGCACCGGAGAGGTCGTCCCCGAGCGCAACATACCCACGCTCTTCACCCTTACCAACTTCATCGACCCGGCCAAGCTCCAGCCGCTGGTCGCCATCCTGCCCGAGGAACCCGTCACCAAGCCGCGTAACGTGCTGTTCCACAATCACACTCCGGCGGCCCTCAAGACCGCCTCCCGGCTCCAGGGCGAGCTCATCAAGTTCTACCAGGACTCCGTCTCCTTCTACCAGTCCCATCTGACCCTCGACACCGCCAGCAGCTTCCTGGCCCACCCCGAGAAGCCGCAGTACCTCAGCCTCGAGGAGCTGGCCGACAAGCTGCTGCCCGAGTACCTCAAGCAGGAAGACCGCTTTCTCCCGCACGCCCTGTACGCCGTCCACACCGCCATCCAGCGCGACGAGTGGGGGTTCCGCCCCCTGAACGCCAAGTGGCACAGGCGCAACTACATCTACGAGGTCCGCCCCACCTCCGACCTCCGCATCATGCGCAAGGTCGAGAACCAGGTCCGCGAGCTGGTCGAGGGCGCCGCCCTGCGTGAGGAACCCGCCGAGTCCATCTCGCTGCTCAGGCAGAACAGCCTCGGCTCCTTCATCCTCAAGGCCCGCGGCGTCATCCAAGCGAACCGGCTGCGGAGGGAATGGACGCCGCACGGCATGATCGGCCCGAGCGACGAAAAGGTCGACAACCTCGCCTCGTGGACCAAGCAGGAGGTCGACTACATCCGCTTCATGGAGCTCTGGTCCTGCCACCGCATCGTGACAAAGGCCTCTCAGCTCGAGAGCCTGGGCTCGACCATCCTCCGGCTGACCAACGTCTACAAGGACGCCGACTGGCTCGCCTACTGGACGGGCTTCACCTTCCTCCAGGAGATCGGCTGGATCCCGCCCTGGGAGATCCCGGCCCGCTACGAGTACAGGTTTCCCGACACCAAGGTCCACAGGGGCGCCGACATGGTCATGCCCCTCGTCGACGTCAATGGGTCCCTCCGGCCCGACATCGCCGAGGGTCACAGGCGCGACTGGGCCGGGACGACCGTCTTCTGCGTCGACTCAGAGCAGACGGCCGACGTCGACGACGGGTTCTCCGTCGAGCCGACCGAGGACCCGGGGGTGCACTGGATCCACGTCCACATCGCCGACCCGGCGTCGCGCATCGACCCCAAGTCCGAGCTCGCGCGCCAGCTCGAGAAGGCCCCGTCCAGCCTGTACCTGGCCGGGTTCCCCAACAAGATGCTGCCGCGGGACCTCGAGCAGCAGTTCTCCCTCGACCCGGGCCGCCCGGCCCTGACCTTCAGCGCCAAGGTCAACGAGCGGGGCGACATCCTCGACTACAAAGTCGAGCCGGGCACCCTCCAGAACGTCCTCCACGTGCCCAAGGACGAGGTCGCCGTCATCCTCCCCGGCGGCGGCACGCAGCAGCCGCCGACCCCTTCGGCCGCCGACACCTTTGCCGTCGGCCGGCCGCCCGCGCCGCCGCCGCAGCCCGTGAAGCACATCACCACGGCCGCCGACCTCGCTCAGGAGGACAGGGATGACCTCGTCCTCCTCGACAGGCTCTGTGCGGCGCTCAAAGACCGCCGCGTCGAAAAGGGGCAGCTCCCGCAGTTCCAGCCCCGCTTCGGCTCCCCCGAGGTGTCCTTCGACTCCGTCGTCGTCAGGGGCGACCCGGACGTCCTCGACTCCTCCATGGCGTGGCAGGGCGACCCATTTAACGCCACCAGTGACTTTACAGCCACGGCATGAAACCAGGACCTCGGACTCGCTTCACTGCGACGATTACGAGTTTGGTTCCCGAAAACTGGGGAAGTAGAGTTCGGTAGTCTAATCATGTGCCACGTAGCAAATCTGCTAACTACGCCCAATCGAGATGGAGGCGTAAATAAATCCCGGGGTGTCGCCCTTCGCGAAGACGACGTGAACGGTCATGGATTAGCGTTGAGGCAGGGCCGCGCTCGAACGCAGCTTTGGCGATTACGTGTCTCGGGCGTGCAGTCCGAAACGCAGCCAATTGGAAAGCTCTACGTGTCGTCTGGTAAAAATTGCTTGCACTACAGATCCCCGCTCATCCTCAGAGCTAGTCCTGGCGCTTGACTTGAGTCCCCTCTAATGTAATGGAATTTCTCCGTCATGCATACTACGTATTTCCAGATCCTGGCGTGCCTCCAGAATGTTCGTTTTCTGGCCCTTTTCAAACCATCCGAACCTAAGTCGGATTCGGACTAGACTAACCGCGTGCATTTACCAACCTTCATCGTGGTGTCAATAGAACTTGCCGCGAACCCATTTCCTAAAAATATTAAGAGTCCCTCCAGGCCGATTTTATTAGATCAAAAGTCTAAAGCTAGAGGTGGGGCGGAGGCCCCACTGCCGGCCCGCTTCGCCTTCGTCGTCGACGGCCTGTACCCCATCGGCCTGCGCGGCCGCCTCGAGGACTTCCACGGCCTCGCCGCCTCCGTCGACCTCGCGAGGCTCGACCCCGTCGCCAGGCTCGCCGACGTCCAGGTCGACGACCGCTTCGAGGTCGAGATCCACGACATCAACGTCGTCACCACCCTGGTCTCCGTCCGGCCCCTGCGGAGGCTGGCGCCGGGCCATGCCGTCACGTCTTCTGCCTGAGGGGAGCCGTGGCGGGCGGGGAAGCCTAGAAGGGTCATCATCCTCGTGTAAAAATAAACATGTACAACAACAACAACAACAACAACAACAACATAGACTTTTCACTGTGTAAGATAGAGAGAGGGAGAAACAGCAACGGGGCTGGTTTCGGGATATGGCATGTAATCAAGACACCCTCACGATCAAGTAGCTCATCTGGACAATCGAATCCTGTGCGCGCGTAAACTCTGGTATCATATTTCGTTCATTAACTTGGAAAAGGAAAAAAAAAAAAGAGGCAAATGGTACAGCTCCGGGACCCCTTTACGTCCTCCCCCGCCGACTGTCATCCGTTGGGCGAGCCCACCTCACGCGGGCTTAAAGCCCTGCCAACACGCTCTGGACGCCGACGCTGCCGGCGTCGTCGCGCCGCTGGACAAAGGCCTTGAAGTCGGCCTTGGTCAGCTTCTTGCCCTGGCCCGAGGGGCCGGCGGCGAGGGTGCGGGACTTCTCGCGCAGCGCCTCGGGGCCGACGATGAAGAGGGAGCCGATGTCGGTGAGGAGCTCGGCCGAGGTCTCGACGTCGGGCGCGAGCGACCACTCCTTGAGGGTGGACGAGTACTTGGACAGGTCCTGCGCGACCATGAGGCCGCCCGTGGCGTTGACCTGGAACTTTTTGAAGTGGTCAAAGAGCAGGGCCAGGACGGCCAGGGCGACCTCTGAGCTCCAGACCTCGAGGTTCTGGCCGTCGACGGCCTGCGCGGCGTACTTGGCGACGCGGGAGAGGAACTGGCTGATCTGCAGGCACGTGGGCGTCTGCAGCGAGTCCAAGTCGGCGTCGCGCGGGCGGAAGTCGAGCTTCTTCTGGTTTGCGAGGCAGCGCGTGACCCAGTTCGTGACGACATCGATGGAGCTGCGCATGACGGCGTTGGTCTTGCGCTCGATGTTGTCGATGGCCGTTTTGGTCTGCGACGCCATGCTGCGGCGCACCGTCGTGTTGGACTCGGCGAGCTTGATCAGCACGGTGGTGATGAAGCGCTCCATGATGCTGGTGATGGTGACCGCGGGCCGTACCGCGGGGAGGTACGTCAGGTCCGGCTCCGTCTTGATGTTCTCCTGGGCCGTCGCGTTGTCGAGAGCGGCGTCCAGGGCCGTCTCGACGTAGACGCGGCCCATCGTCGTGAGCAGGAGGTTGAGGAGGACGTTGACGTCCTTGGGCGTGTCGACGGGGGAGCCGAGCTCGAGGGTTCTGCGGACGGACTCGGCGAGCCACTTCATCATTCTCTTGGCGTTGGCGACTTGGAGGATCCCGTCCTCCTCCGACACCTCCACGTCGTCCTTGTTCTCGTTGTTGTCTTGGATTCCCGCGACGCGAAGCATCATGGCCCTCTGGGTGGCCGTCAATTCGGACGAGTCGAGACGCTCGAGATAGGCGTCCTTCGCCGACGACAGCAGCTGTGAACTCTGCTGGGCGAGGGAGGCCATGAAGCCGGTCGGCGCCTTCTTCCTCTTGGAGTGATATGTTGTAAACTTGAAGAGCAGCGAGCTGTAGGTTTCCTCGAGGCTCTTCCTCTCTCGGTCGATGTACGAATTGCCGACAAGGTACGGGACAAACAGCTCCTCCATCTGCTGGTCCAGGGTCTGGGAAATCTGTGGTGATGCCGGCTCCGGGTGCTCGGTTAGGCCGTGCGATTTGAGGTCTTCGATCAAGGCGTTGATGTATGTCCTGGAAGAGTGCAGTGATCTCAGGAAGGCCAGGGACGAGACCTCGTTGGCCTTGTCGAGCACCATCTCGAGCCTTTGCTGGATGGACTGTTGAAATATCCTCTGGATAAACTTGATGAGAACGGTTTCGTAGAAGGGGAACGCCCGCTTGATGATGAAGGACTCCTCCTGCATGATCAGCTTGACTTCGTCGACCAGAGACTGCAGGCTGGCTTCGACGCCAGGCGGGTCGGCGTCGGGGTCCGCGATCTGTTCCCAGATGTCTCCGTCCATCGTCACTTCATCCGAGATGAGCTGGTCTCTGTCGATGAAGAACTGGTGCTGGTTGACGAACGTGGCGATGACGCTGGCGCCACCGTTGAAGTCGTAAAGCACCTTGGAACATTCCATCATGTCGTCGAAGTTCTGGCGTCGGTAGCTGCTGTTGAACTGCTTCAGCAGTTCTTGCTCCAAGGATTCCGAGAACTTTTCGAGAACCTCTCTCGTGTTGTGCACGCGACTGGTCCCGGCGACGCCGTTCGTGACGCCGTTTCCCCGGAAGCCGTTCGCCCCGTTAGTCTGGCCCCACGACGAAGGATCGAGCCGCTGGCTGATGCGCACCAGCTGGCGGGAGATGATGGCGCAGCGGACCTTGTTCTCGGCGCCTCCTTGTCTCTGGATCTCCTCCAGCGACGTGAGCTGGCCTGTTTCGCAGACCTCGAGCCAGCACTGGATGAGGAAGTTGGCGTCTTGGGCCCGTCTCCGTTTCCGATCCAGCTCCTCGAGCTTCTCGCCGATCTGTACAGCAATATTTCCGCCGGCATTCTTGTCGACGCCATCGATGGCGGGTTGGTTCAGCGATAGATCGAGCGCCTCGAACGAAGCCATCGACTGGTCGAGCTTCCGGCCGAGGGTGTCGAGGGTCTGGTCGTGTTGGGCTTCGGCCCTTCGCACGTTGGATTGGAGTTCCGATTCTCTCTCCTGGAGTTCCTCAGACAACGACCCAAGTTGCGACAGCGCGTCTAGGGGGACAAGTCAGCGAGCGGACGGGGCGGTGGACGGGAGGCAGGCGTTGTACTTTCAAAGGTGCGGATGAGAGGCTTTGGTTCGAAGCCAGACTGCGCAGGGCCCGACCGACGGTTTGCTGGCACAGCACTCTCGGCCAGGTTATCGATGAATTCGCGGACGACAAAGTCCTGGGTCGAGAAGTCGTCCAGGGTGAAGCTGGGCCCTTGAGGGAACAAGGACTTGGCCCCAGACCCAGACCGCTCCATGACTGCAATTGTGCAGAGACGTATTGGTGGTGTGCGTTGGTTCAGACGTCAGCAGCCGGCTACATGGTTTTGTGAGGATGGGTTAGTTGTTGTTGGAGTATCGCCAGTAGGTAGCTTGGTTGGGTAGGTGCTCCTGGAGGTTGTGTTTCGGGAGCACGGGTATCTGCGTGGCCGGCTCAGTGACGAGCTGCTCCCTGGTTACTTGGATTAGCGTCCACTGCGTAACTAGGTGAACTGCCCCGCCACCTAGTGTACGTAAGGTATCCGTACCTAGGCTCGTGTGTACCTAGGTACATAGCGCTTCATCTCTCACCCGTCACGTGATAGACATCGAATGCGGCATTGTCGATACTCTTTTCATTTGTTCTCTCTGGCAAAACCAAAACCGGCGTTCGTCATAATGGCTTCACAGTCTTTCTCATATCAAAACAGGCAGTGTTGCGTGTATTTCAAACAGAGTATTGGCATCGGAGTTTAGCCGTAGCTTTTTCTTCTGGGAATGGGCACCGGGCGTTATCCGGCTCCAATGTTGACTGACGCATTGGACTATCAAGTACCGGCTCCTCATATTGAGATCTCGGAAACTTCGTGCATAACGCGGAAGAAGAAGAAGAAGAAGAAGAAGAAAAAGGACATCACAGGGCAGCCTCAGTTTTGGTCTCCTTTTCGGCCGGCACTTCCAGCCGTGCCGATGCGGATGACCCCGGTCTATGAAATTAGCAGCTGTTCTCCGGCCGCCGGAGTGTTTCGATTTGCCAATGAGTGCCACTAGCTGAGGAATTGTTCATTTGACCCTAAACTAGAGGGGGCCTTCTTACATGCGTATCGTTTGTTGTCCTGTTGTCAGGGGAGGGACCAAGTCAAACGGGTCAATAGCACGCAGCATGCAGACCATTGTTGCCGCAGGGGCTTTATAAGTCGTCACCAACAACGATTCCTTTCCACTTCGGACGAGTTTGAAATCCGCTTCGGTGAGCTCCCGGACACAACCTGCCCTGCCATGCCACTCCCACCCACACCCGGCCGGGCATTCAAGACATACAGTCCAGAGGGGGAGGGAAGAAGCAGAGATGCAGCAGAATAACAATGATCACAGAGTCAGAAGGCAAACAAACCAGTTGTTTGTAACTTGGCAAGCCATCGATTGGTAACAGCCTACAAAAGTCGCGAGGAATAATACAATGAACCCCCCCCGTTTCGTTTTCTTCCTTCATCTTTCATCAAAGATATCAAACGAAATTCATCCTCTCGCCCGCACGACCCACCCAGCTCCCCCCCTTAGGTCTTTCCATTGATCATTTACAATCCATCGACTACAACCACGCCCTTGCGGAAGGACACACGCATGGGCGGGAGAGCTGAGGGTGAAAAGAAAACACTAGAAAAGGCAAGGAGGAAAGAAGCTGTTGCCGCGATGCAACCTCATTGACACACTCATACACCACACACACCCCTGAGATGCACTGCCCTCCCCAACTCCCTTTGATGTGATGAAAAAATTGATAATTACATATTCAAGACCACACAGCGCGGATGTACGTTGTATGGCCTGTGTTGATTCTTGTTGGCTGACGTTCTCTGCGATATTGGTATCACGGGGATGACTGACAATGAAGGGAACGACCTGGCCCGGGTCTCGCTCTAAAACAGAGGAATATACAGAAGAGATTGATGCTGTGACAAGCAAGGTGGGGAAAAAAAAGAAGAAGAAAAAAAAAGACGAAAAAAAGGTGATCAAACATAAAACGGTTTGAGGTTAAGGGAAACTATGTTCACGAGCGGATGAGGTGAATTACGCCCCCCAAAGAAGGGGAGGGCATACCACGCCTGTCGCACGTCGGGACGGTATAGAAATAGTGTACGCGGCCGGACGCAGGATGGACTGCGAGTGACTCGGCAGACGAGAAAGTGGCGAAGGTTGTGTTGCGTAGCCGAGGAGACGTGGGTTGTAAAGGTATGGTATGTAACGAGTGATAGGGCTTTTAGAGTACTCTTGGGTCATCTAATGCTGGAATGCAGAGACACCGCCGCCAAAAATGATGCTCCGGAAAAGACCTGGGTATAAAAAAGGACGGATCATGATTCTGGGGGTGTCGTGCAGCGCTGTGGGCGGGAGCGGAGCTCGCAGCGTATTGTTGTTGTTGTCGTTGCGCGGTGGCCATTAGTGTCTCAAGACGGCCATGGCTTCGAGGCATGTCTGTTGTTGTAATTTTGCTGGACTTAGCGCTGGTTTTGCTTGTTGATCTCGCCCAGGTTGAGCCAGCTCATGTCTGACGTGGACGCCATGGCGAGAGGGGGCTGCTGGCTGACGCCAACCTGGTTGTCCGTTTGGGTTTGCCGGTTCGGCATGCTTGGCGCCAGCGAAGTCGGGTAAAGGCTCTCTGCGTAGACACTGCTCGCCGCACGATCGGCACCCCAGGGCCTCGAGGTGCCGGTGGGGTCCCACGTATCGCGGACGCTCTCAGGGATGCCGCTCGAGTATCCGGAGGACATATCCGACTGAGGTCTTCTGGAAGATTCTATCGTGGCAGACACACCGTCCCGGAAGGGGATCTGGTTCGAGTAGTTTGACACAGTCGGACTGCCCGAGACGACGCGGCTGAGCTCTGGCCGGCCATCGTGCTGAATGGGCGGGACAGTGGATAAGTCCTGGGTGATGAGGTGCAGGGGAGGGACCGTGGCGGAGTCTTGTGTTATCCGGTTCCTGTCGACTCCGTTCGAGTAGCGAGAGCTGTTGTCCGAGTCGACCGTTGTCCGCTTCGAGTTACCGAACCCAAGGATGTTGAGCGCGCTGCCGCCGGACCAGTACCGGTTCCAGCCCGAACTTCTGCGCGTCTCGCCGTTACGGCCGACGGGAGCTCCTCTGGTACCTGGACGCGGCTCGACGACGTCGGCAGCGAACGAGACGCCCTTCTCGTCGCGGGATGGTGGTGACAGGGCCGGCTCGTCGTTCGTCTGGGGGATGGGCTTGCCAATAGTGCTCTTGAACAAGCTATTGGAATCATCACGGAGGCCACCGGACTTTGCCGTGTTGTTGTTGGCGTTGACCTTACCCATCAAGATAGCCATGGAAGAGAACGAGCCCGCTGATTCCTGCTGCTGGTGACCACGGAACTGACCGCCGGGGGCAGGACCAAAGTCGTCCGCGCCGTACCCAAGGCCGGCCTTCTCGTCAGCGAAGCCTCTCGGGCTCATGCCCCTAGTATTTGGGATCTGGGCGTTCTGACGGTTCTTGGCGGCACGGCGACGCCGAATACAGAAGAGAGATAGACCTAGGAGGATCATGATACCGGTGATGGTGCCGAGAACGATGCCGAGGATGGCGTTGGCACTAACTGCTGCCGGAGCGCCGACTGCGGCGGTCTCGGAGCTCGCTGCCAACGAGGAGGAGGCGGACGCACTGACAGACGCAGGCAGAGTGGAATAGGCGGGACCCAACAGGTCAGAGCTGCTGGCAGTCGGGGTCGCGGCAGTGCCGGCGGCGGAGCTTGTCGACTCGCTGGAGATGAGGACATCCTGCTCGCTCAGCTTCTGGGCGGCGTCCTCCCACGTGTTCCCGCGGGCATTGAACATGCAGAGGGAGTCGTTGGCAGATCCCGAGCCTCCTGCAAACACGACGAGCCCCTCGGGATCCTGGGCGACGGCGTAGTTGACGCGCGTGCCTACGGGCGCAAACGTGCTGTTGTAAGCCGGCCAGTCGCTGAGGGTCAGAGCGCGCTTCACGAACTCGCCAGTTGCCTCCCTCGTCGCCTTCTTCGACACCGCGGCAGAGTTGACGACGGGGGCGCCCGAGGCGTCGATGAGGACCATTCGCTTGACCTGGTTCGGCGTCATTGAAAGATCGAAAGTGAACAGGCTCTTGCTTCCATCGTCTCCATTGATAATGATGGCCTGCATCGCAGTCCTGTCTTTCATCAGGGGTTCGGCGAGTGTCGCACCCGAGTCGGTCCAGGCACTGTCGGGGCTGAAGAGCATGATCTTGTTGTTGGTGGCGCTGCCTCCGACCAGAACCGCCTGGGTGTCGGACCATGGCAGAAGTATGGGGTTTATGACGGGCGCCGCTGTCGATGAGAAGGCTCGGGTATTGTAAGGCGCGGACGCTCCGACCACGAAGGTTTGCGTCGAGGGACCCGAGTATCCATCCTGGCTTCCGCCGTACATGACAATCTGATCACTGCCGGGGAGATATGTTGCGCCGTGAAGCAACCGGTCTTGGGTGACATGGTCCTGCGGCGTGATGGATTCCCATTTCCCGGTCGAGTAGGTGAATTTCTGCAGCCCGCGGTAATCTGCCGAAGCCGCCTTGCCTCCAACAATGTACAAGCCAGCCTGGCTGGCATCCTTGGGGTTCGAGCCCACGCATACAGCTCCCGTTACTGATTCGCCCTGCGCCAAGGTCTTCCATTCAGCGCCTTGCTCGAGCGCCAGCGACTGGAAAGCGCCGGCAGAGTATGTGTACAAGACGTTGTCGTGGATGACTGAACATACGTTCTCCAGAGCGACCTTGGGCTCGGGGACCTTCATCGTGTCCGTCTATTGCGTAGATGTACGTGATTGCGTCGTGGTAGATGCGAGTGGGAGGTAACGTTTCCAAAAATGAGTGTCGTGAAGTCTACAACATGACATGAAATTCCCTTGGCAATGAAATCGTTGAATGCAAACCAATTTCTCACAACGATGGTGGGTCGGTTCCAATGCGCCGATTCTCGAAAAGGGTTAAGAAGTCTCCCGAACGAAGGATGATCCAAAAGGCTGAACAGGCAAGCGAATGCCTTCGAGGCTTCGAATTGGGGGTTGAAACGATGGGGCTATCGAAGCGAATTCGGTTGGTCGGTCCCAAACTGGTAGGACGAGAAGCGGTTGACGAGAAGATGGAGAGGCGGTCCAAAGGGAGAAAGAAACAGAGCCGTCGAGCTTGTCGTGGATGGCAAGTATTACGCTTGTCTCGGAGTTTGATCTGCAGAACAAGGCTTCAGGGGGGGCGCTCTCGACAGCCAACT